CGAGAAAATACTGTAAATATGGGGCCCCCAGGGCGTTCCACCCTCTATATATATATATATATATACATATGAAAATGTTATATAACACATTTTTCGACAGTTGCACATGCATGTACATTTAGCTGTATGTATGTTTGCATGCTTGCAGGTGTATCTATACATATACACACACACACACACATATATATATATATATACATGAATGTATGATGTATGTATGTACGTACGTATGTATGCCTATGTGTGCATTCGTGTATGCCAGATGCATACTACGAGGACCGTAGCTTCGATCGGCATTCAGTAAAGTTTAAGTGATGCGAAATGTTCACTCCAAGCCCTCAGTAAAAGCCGTACAGCCGCACAGGTATATAAGAGTACTCATTCTGATCTGACTCAACATGAACCCGACGTAAAGCCAATTCTCGCCCTCACGAGCTTAACCTCGAGCGGTCCTCAACTGGACAAGAGATGTCCATCCCCAAGCTTGACCTAATCTCAGGAACCCCATCAGTCTGCGACTTGCAGGACGGATTCGCACAAAGATTGAAGTTCAAGCTCTGGTCTTAGGACTTGGATGTGTGTAAACCGGTGCTACTCAGACTTAGGATTCCGACTGATCAGCAGGGGAGGCCGAGCACAACGCAGACACTGATAAGATTACATATGCTGTCGCGGAGCAGCCTCTAGAACATGTGTTCTAGTGGCTTACATGGGCTACTGGTTAGGAACTTGTGGTTGGATCCAAACCATGGCATTTTCTCGTCGCACTCTCAGGGCAGATGTGTTTGGTTTGGTTTCAGGGCCTCCACTGCTTCGAGATGAAAGCGCAAGCAGCACTACCAGAAAAGGGCCCGGTTCGTGAACTTTTTTTATTATTGCCCAGATTCAGATTTCTGCTGGCAAAAAACAGGCGAAACCGAAAACTCCAAAAGGCTCAATCATGGTTTAACGCATTTTAGGATGCAGAAAGACTATCCTGGCTCATGGTCAGGTGTTCTTGGGGATGTCGCGCACAGCCAGTTCGCGATGGACAAGCATCTTGTCACACATTGTGGATGAAGGCGAAGACGAGTGTGAAAAGTAGCCGTCTGTTCTAGGCGTCGATAGAACCCTGTATGTTGCTTATCCGTTTCCGGATAGGCCAGACGTGGGCCATATCCACAAGAGCTTAGGTAGTTAAAACTTGCATACATGCTGAGCCTACCTATGGGAAGAGTCTTACACTCCCCGTGCGATGATTGACCAGTCGGAGTACTAGCTACGTGGAGCTGTGCGAGTCGTACTCAGGGACCCAAAAAGGACATATGCATAAACAGTAGCGTTTTATAGGGATATCCCTTCCTTATTGCGCTTCATGGTTGGGGGGTGTATATGGGATATCCTTCTCCTAATTCTCCTAATGTTTGCTTATGTCCTTTTTTGGGACCCTGCGTACGACGAATCTCGAAAAATAGTGTCTGGAACGAAGGCACTTGAGCTAGCCACACAATTCAAGGCTTGAAGAAGCAGGCGGTGGCTGTGGGAATAACTTGCAAAGCTGGAACAGCGCGAGGTTCGCTTGGGTGCAATCCGTCTTTGACCTCAGTTACCTTCACCACGGTTCCGTACTGAAAAGGCCAAGGCAGGACCCCTTTGAAGTATTCCGGGCAGTAGCAGCTCGCAGCCTGCAGACGGATGTTAAGAGGGGAACCTATGAACAAGAGCTGTCCTTGACATTTTTCTTCTAGTCCGAATGTCTCTTCGCCGTTTCAACGGTGTCGTCTGTACTCCAGGGTCCGATCTAAAAGTGGATTGACCATGTTCCGCTGAAGAGCCTAATGCCCGGGGCTCCCAGATACAGAGATGATTGAAGGTTATGTGTGAAAGCTGCTAGTCTCCTGCTGAAGTGACAGTCCTGACGCATGCTTGCAGGATCCACTCGCAGGTGTGGAAGTCTTAATGAGCCAAGATTCCGTAGTCGCAAGCTTTCAGTTTAGACGTCTTCGTTTCTGTGTCCTCATCCCGCAATCCGGGCAGGCTTCCCATCACTACTCACTTTGCCGATCGCTTCTCGCCAACGTGAGCTTCAGATGGGATGCATAACTGGTATTGTTACGGTATTATATGCTGACATCAATAAGGTAACAATGATGACAATAGTAGTTCATGTCATTCATGTCTCCACGCTCTCCCCCATGCCTGGCTTCGCCCCCTGACTGCTACGAATCTGTGGCACACGAGCTTCCCAAAGACCTGTCTCCATGCGTTTGCCTTGCGGATGACCTAGACCTAGAATGCACCGTCCTTGTGTCGCGAAGCCCTCTTCCCAACCTTGTGGAATCGGTTCGTTGACATCTGAGTCTTGATGACGCTTGTGAGCGTTTCTGAAGTGCCTGGCTAGTGTGAGCTGAAGAACTGAGTAAATTGAACCATAAGTTTGACAGTTGAGCTTCGCGAAGGTCCCTAAAATAGGGAACACGACGACTTTGCTACAAACCTGTTGAGACCCTGTGACAGGGTCTTCAACCTAGACAGGGTCTTCAACCTAATTGGCCTGCCTTAATCTGGGGCATGCCTGCTTCGCCAGAGACATCACTTTACCCTGCAATGCGGGCTCGTCTTTGCTAAGTAGGAGGCAAAAAACCTTGTGGAATATTCAAACCTCCAGCTCCTGAGCCAAAATGTTTATATATATATATATGCATATGGTACCACATATAAATATAAGTATATATATATATATATGTGTGTGTGTATATACTTCCTCATTTATCAACTGCAGACCTGCAACCCGAAAGCAGCTTGCATGTTGGTTTTTCTGGTGGTGGCCCTGGTGGTGGCCGTTAGCTTTCATCTTGTTGATATCTTTTGTCAATCATATTCAATTTGCCCCGTCCATGGAGTCCCGAAGCAAAAAAATCATATTCAATTATTGCTTTCTTTATTCGGACAATGACCGGTGCAGTAATATTGTTGATACTGTTCTTGTTTATAATGACATCCTTATTATTGTTTTTGGTATCACTGTGATCAGTTACTACACTTAGGATATCTCTGAGTCCGAGAGAGAGAGAGAGAGAGAGAGAGAGAGACAGAGAGAGAGGGAGGGTCGCTAGACGACCCCTACGCCCGGCAGAAAGAAAGAGAGAGAGGGAGAGTATGTCCGTGTCAGTGCCGTTGCTGCTGGTGCTGGAGTCCGGTGTTGGTGTTGGAGGTGGTGGTGGTGGTGGTGGTGTCGTGTTGCTGTGGCAGTTGGTGTTACTGCTGCTGCTGCTGCTGCTGCTGCCGCGACTGTTATCGTTGTGATTGTCGTCGTTGTCGCCGTCACTATCATTGTCACTCTTCGTGCCGCTCCTGCTGATGCTTTTGTGTTTTCTGTGGTTGGTTTGCTCGCGTTTTTGTGAGCTTGAGTTTGTTTGAAGGCTTTTGATTGGTTGGGTGAGTTGGTGATGTGTCGTCATTTGTTACGAGAAGCGGTTGCTCCTGCTGAAGACGACACTAAGGACCGATGACACTGAGGACCATCAACACTGTAATCATCATCACCATCATCATCATCATCATCGTCACCATCATCATGATGATGATGATGGTCATCATCATCATCATATCACCACCTTTTTTCTTGTTGTTGCTGCTGCTGTCGTTGGTTTCGATTGTGCTGTCGATTGCTGTTCTTGCTGTTGTTGCTTTTGCCGTGCGGGTGAGGACGGCGGTGGCGATACTGATGACAATGCGGATGTTGAAGTTGACATCGCTATAGGCCAGGTTGATTTTATGGGCGACACGGAGGCAAAGCGGATTGCCATTCCGGGCTTGATGGTACTGCACTGCACATGGAGATGCCGCCGCCGGTCATCAGTTTGCCTGCTCCCTGAGCCCAGGATTGGCTTACATGCTCTCTGCATTGGGCAAGGATGGTGGCGAGTGGGAGGGCGTCTTGGCAGACAACTGCTCTGCATGAGTTGTTTCACGTGGCTGTGGCTGTGCTAGTTTTGGGGGATCGAAAACGGGATCTCATTATATACAGATGTCTCAAGAACAGAACAGATAGCAGAAAACTGTGAAGGCCTCACTTCAATGAGTATCTCCCCATTGAACGCACACTGATTCTGAACCCATCTGCGCGTCGGCCCCGGCAGACCCACTTCGTGGATTCATCACTCAGCTAGAACTTAGCGCATGAAGCAAGTCACGGGTGACTTTTTTACGCCAACCCTTATAGCCTTGAGGGACTCGGCCGGCACTGGTAGCCGTGATGCCAAATGTCCCGATGGGACATGCAACAACTCCAAGGTGAGCTGACCGCCGTGTCTGAGGGCACTGAGCAGTTTTGGCTTTGATGCGACATGTCAAAACACATCTTGCTGTCACGCTGAACAAGTCCGAATGTCTCAACTTGATGAACCCCAAAGATGCAATCCACCAGTCGTCCCTGGCCAGGTCTTGCATTTTGATACTGAGTGTCCGAACATCAAGATGTCTCTTGGGATGCTGTCAAAAAACAAACTTAAGCTCAGCCGACGTGCGACTGAGAATCCGAAGCACTTGTTTCCGGCCATCAGAGCTGGATGCACAGGGTTGTTTTTCTCCATCCTAAACCTAGCTGGCGTGAAAAAGATAGAAGTAATTCGCCACGTCCGCGGGCTAATATGCTTTGTGTAGTAGTTGGTGTTCCGAGGACTACTGCGTGCGGCAGTAGTGGTTGATGAAAGCTCCAGAGCCTTCTTCACACCTCAAGGGGGTGTGCATGAGCTGCCGTGGTCCTTTCGCTGGGATATCAAATTTCAATTTGAGCTTTGCAAAGGACCACCTAGCTCATGCCAGATTGAACGGGGAAATCCTCGCAATCGCATTTAATATGGGAGATCTTGGGGACGGCCTCGCCGGAGAAACTGCGGCTGTGTGCATGCACTGTGCATGTGGGAGTCTGGGTGAGACACGCCAGCCCGGAAACTGCTAGTCGCGATTACTCTGAGATCCAGGATGTCCAGCACAACCCCATGCATGTAGGCTTGCACAAAAGACACTCGTCATCCACGTCGAAACACAAGCGAATAATAACCGCAACGAGAAATCTGCCAGTGGTCGTGAAGATGACGTTCAGGATGAAGGTTGTGGTGATGGCGGTAGAGCGCGAGAGCCTTTTGAAACAGCACGCAGCAGCAGCAGCAGCAGCAGTAAGAGCAACGAGGACGGGACTACCACTAACACGACGACCTGAACCACAGCTTGCAAAACAGCAGCCGAACAAGCAGCATCAGCAGCAGGCACCGTAACTGCAAAGACAGCAACCCACTGGCTACGCGCCACAGGACAAAGAGGCCGAGATGGTCATGGCTTCCTTGAGGTGCACTGGCAAGTTATTTGTGCTGCGGCTCGTTGCGGCCGCAGCGCTTCAGTTTCCAGGTAGCTCAGAGATTTCCAAACCGAAGGAAGGCGCTAGTCAGTGTTTAGGATATTTGTACCACGCTGTCGTAATACATGAACACATGGAGGCCAAGAATAGCCTCCTGACAGGGAGCTAGCTGATCTGATCCTCCCTAGACCGCTCAAGCACACATGTCCCGTGAGTGTGGAGAAGGACCTGGCTTCTTGTGCAGCAGGGTACCGGCTAGACCAAGTTAAAAGCTCAAGTTTCGTGGAGAACTCAACCAGAAAGCCACATCCAAAATCGCGGCTCAAGAGTTGAAAGAGTGCATTCGGAGGAGCGCTGGACACCATGCAAGCACCCCAGCTTCTCTTGCCCCTGCCCTGCACGTCAAGCCTTCGACACCCTGCCGAGAAGCTTGACCTCGCCCCTCACGCTGGCTTTTGGGTGCTTTTAAATCCCTAAACCCTATACATAAACCTTAAAACCCCTAAATCCGGCTCAGATCCTCCACTGCCATGCCTGCCGAGTGCGAGTGTTTGAGTCGAAATCCGGCTCAGGCAAATCTTCCGCGAGGCAGACGAGGACGGCTCCGGCGATCTGGACCACGGAGAGCTGCGCGCGGCCCTGGGCCGCTTGGTTCCGGTAAAGACTTTTCGGGTTTAGGGTTTGCCAGGGAGTCTGAAAGTTATTTGCCATGTATATATAGAAATGAGCAAGTATAGGTAAACAGATATATCGATCGATGCGAATATGGGAGTGTAGACAGATATCTATCCATCGTGATGTTTATCTATCTATCTATCTATCTGTCTGTATTTGCACGTATGTACTCTGTACCCTACTTCGCGACTCGCTCAGCCATGTAGGAGGCGAAATTTTCTATCTACAAGAGAGCACATACTCCAACGTCAACCCCCGTCAGACCCTCGGAGCCTAAACCCCAAAGCCCGCAGCTGGCGCCCGAGTTTCGGGTTGGAAAGCAACTCACCCAAGAGATCCTGAAATCTACGCAGCTTTTGGGAACGGATCCGACCGTTGAGCCTGACCACCGAAGCTGCAGTCCTGCAACACCGTCTCTCGGCATGTGCACTCCAAGTTTCTTGGCCATGTCAGGAAAGTTCCGCGTGCGAGATCGCGCCCGTGGCTGCAAGCTTTGGTTCGGGGCTGGCATTGATTCAAGTTCAATCGGGTGCTGTGTAGTTTTGTTGCAGGAAGAGTCAACAGGGTGTTGTAGTCATGCTACAATACAGTCCTTTGCAGTCTGTTCTTTGCATATAAGTTTTCTCCAGAAGTCTTACCCTAGAAGTGCTGTTGCTACAGTATGGCAGTCGCAGGTTTTTTTGTCCGATCGCAGCAAGCCCAGCAGAAAATCGGAATTCACAGCCTATAGCACCAACAATGCACGAGAATGCAATAGTTGCAATGAAGTCGTGGGCAAAGTAGAACTACAGCCAGCCCACGTCAGCCCTATAGACGGCCCACCTCGGCCTCAGGTCCACAGGAAGCCCTTGACTAGTGGCCTCTCTATGGCACCACTCTCCCCAAACCACAAAGAAAGCGGCATGCCGAAGACCCATTGCTCTTGCCGGTAGCCACGTTCCACTGTGTTCTCTGGGTTGAAACGATACTGTTCATTTTCTCTGGATGATGATACCGTGTGCCACACTCCTTGCACTTTCGTGATCTTTGCGATGGCAGGATTTGGAGGGCCCTCACATATAATTGGGACATATTTTGTTGCATGCCATGAACCGAACAAATATGTAAAACAGCCTATACACGACCCCGATCAGACGTTGGAGAACTCCGGAATCGGACTCAGCTTGAGGATTGAAGTTGCTGCAGATCCCCTACCCAGACCTTGAGATGCTCTTCCTCCTTCTGGATGAGGAGCTCCATGAAGAGAGTTGCTGAATGAGTCTGAGTGATGCCGCAGCTGGCAGGACAACAAGGGCGTCATCAAGTGCGACTACTTCTTCCGTGGTGTCGCAAAACTGCGTGGCCTTGCCAAGGCCAAGGACCTGCATCAGCTGATACTTGGCTAAAGGCTCCACTGCTGTTTGCTGTTTCACAGGCAAAGGACGTGGCCGGACGTACGTAGCTAGCTAGCCATTTTTCACATACATATCTTTGGAATAGGTAGGTATAAGTCGGTATGCCGGGTTGTAGGTCCATGTCGGTTCACATGTACAACGCGCACTTGGTAAACCCGGTTGTCGTTTGCGTATAAACACCCCGAGATTACCCAGCAGCTGAGGTCCATCGACCTCAACCGGCGCATGCTGTGGGTGGATGAAAACACTTCGAAGCTTTCAGGCCGGACGTTGACAGACTAGGCACCCCAGTAGTTCATTTCTCCCACCGTAGTTCGTTTTTTGTAATTTGGAGGATCCTTACTGAAGTAGGTTAGCAACAGCAGGGGTACCTTGAATCTCAACTGGTTGTCGGGGGCATCCAAGAAGAGCTGCATCGTGATAGAGTCTAAGTGCTAAGCGCACGCTGGACATGTCTGCTTTCAGGGCTCATGACGGCAACCGGTGCTTGGCATTTGGACAGGTGAGGAATGGAACGGAACGGTGTTTGACCAAGCTCATTCCCCCTTCAACGAACGCAGATCCGTCGAAGTTTTTGTTGCCCGTGGGTGACCAAGTGCTCCCGACTCTTGAGGAAGCATGCTGTTCTTTCACCCCGATAGCAGTCAGCTTTATGACTGTGTCCACCAAACTCCACCTAGGCATCGTTTTGTTCTGACCCCGTTGCCCCAGCGCCTGCAGAAGCGAACGACATCTTGATGGACATGGTCGATCACCTGGACGAGATGGATACACACATTGTCAAAGGACCCATGGGCAAATCGTTTGCCTCGCTGCACCCCGTATTGTCGGCACAAATGGGAGTCAGGGGCATTCCAAGGGCATTGTTCTCAAAGTCGAGAGCCCCCAGATAATATAGAGGCCTTAATCACCTTAATCGTTACCAAGACAATTTGGGGGCTCTTTATCAGAATCATAGTATCGCATACCGTCACATACCCAAAAACCATATTATGTTTGTTTTGAGGCCTCTATATTGATCATGTCAATGTGCAGGAGAGTCCGATGGCAAAGATCCTGTTGTCGCTGCCAGGTGCAGGGCTCAGATATTCTGGATTGGCAGGCTTCCTCAACTGTTAATAGTGCTGTCTTCGTACCGTAGACTGCGTCTAGAGTCTAGATATCCAAATTGGTCGTTGTCCTTTCGCGTGGCGCCACTTCGATCTTAAACACTGGTTAGTAGTGAATGTGCTTGCACCTCAAGGTTGCCATTGCACTCGCATGCTTTATACTGCCACAGCTATTCAACACATCTATCTATGCAACTCAATTTTTTATTTTCAAGCCAACGCCATCCACTGCTTCACAGTGTTTGTCGTACTCCAGTGCTCCTAGCGATGCTAGTTCGTGGTTGTAACCGTGCAGCAGTTCAGCAGATGGTTCCACTGCTGTGAGTTGTGCTCTTGCGCGGTCAACTAGAGTAGCATGGCGCTCACTCTCCCAAGACGGGATAGTTTCACACTCGCCTCTGGCCTCGCCAGTATTTTGCTTCCCCTTCCTGGACGGATATGGATATGGCATTTCAGACAATTAGGCGCCGTAATGTATAAGAACACCGAACCGGTCTATCTTAAGCCCCAAGCCCTTGATCACAACAGATCGCAAGAGCCCTGCGGCCGAGGCGTGGTAGAGAGCCAGTCTCCAAAGGCGCTTGCTGCATTGGTGCTCAGCATTAGCCGGTTGGCGTGGTTTCCACTTTCTTTCGCCCGCAGTGGCAAGGGTTTATGTCAGGGGATGTTTTATCTTAAGCAGCACTGCGCTCTTGTTAAAAATACCCTAGGACTTCTTTGGCCGTTAGCTGCTTCAATGCAAAGCTTGGGCTATATTAATGATGGAAGCCTTCATGAGGCGATGACATGAGATGGGCTTGGAGTTCAGATAGGAGCTTCCTGCACTGATCATGGTCTATATGTCCTCGATCTCAAAACACGACACAAGCCACACAATCAGTCCCCGTGCTCTTGGGCCTTGGGCCCTGAAGTCCCGACACCGGCCCACGTGCAGGGCGTATCCTACGTGGTGTTTGGAAAGATGGCCGCGGCCTTAGCTTCGGAGACGGTCCGGCCATAATTCTGCCAATTGTTGGAACCACTGCGCCGCTGGCTACCGAATCATGAGATATTTCAGCTCGGAGATGGTGGCAACAGTCTAAGTCTAAGTCTATGAAGGCGTGGCGAGACACCTGGGTCAGGGGTTCGGGGTCCAGTTTCCCAGCACTCCGACCTCTCAGGTCCCAAACTCTTCGACGCCCTAAGCCCAACACAAAAGGTACGAGACTCAACCCTGGCCTGGCAGCTTGCTTTGCCCCGAGGCCTGAACTCCAAACCTCCGCAGCCGTAGTTGCGTGGACTTCAGACCGAAAGAGTCCCCTCTCCCCTCACTTCCCTCCCATCCCGTTGCACCCATTCAACAACGCAATGGATCCCAAAGTAAGCCAGGATCATTCAATACTTGCTTCGGGTTTAGGGAACTCGTCTCAGAAGCCTCCAGTAGCCTGTCTTCAGCTGCCCCTCAGACTTCCGAGGCCGGCCCATGCGTCAAGGGTCTAAGAATCCGTGGATCGACTTCGAGGAGTTGCAGAAAGATGCCAAGGAGACCCGGGGGCATATATGAACCAGCTGCCAGCTCTCGGGCTCAAGTTTGGGAGTCCCAATGTTCTAGGGCAGGGCCAGGGGGAATTACTATTGTTTCTCAATTCAACTGTTTTAGGCTCAGGCTCGGGGGTGAGAGTTGAGAGTCGACTTGCATGTTGCGGCTTCCTGGGTTTTACTTGCCTTGCCTCTGTGAGAACAAGGTTCCGGGTATACTTCTGAAGCCCGCCAGGAGATACGCAAGAAGAACGCTTCGCCACTCTTTTGCATCGATGCTTTCCGCCCGAGGTAGGTGCTCCTGAGCCTGCAAGGCTTTTGGCGGCTCTGTGTTTCCAGTGCAGGGTTCACGGGCTAGGCCCCCGAATTCCCCGGTTCGGCGCCCATGAGGTTAGTTCAATGCTTCATGCGAAACTGCACGAGTAAATTTCGTGAACCCTATTTCCGATGCCCAGCAGTGCGTGAATCACGGCTCCCGATTTTGCCCGAGGAAGAGGCGTGCGGAGGCCTGGAAATCTTGTCAGTTGAACAGCTCCGACTCACCACAGTGTTTGCATGGTTCGGGCCGGGCTGTAAGTTGCGCTGCACGAGCAGGGCTCATTTGTGAGGTAAAGGTTTCATGAGTCCTTTAACCTTAGCGGCTCCTCAATGCCGCATCTTACCTTGTTTTTTCTTCTTTTCGTTGGCATGCTAGCTGCATTCCACTGGTCACAGCAACTTCATGCTTGCCATGACGTGATCGCGCCGTGGTTGCTTTCATTAGCCCCTCGACGGCCGAGCTTGAAAGTGAAAACTGCCTTGCCTGCAGTTTCCCAGGTGATGTCATGAGCAAGACGGCCATCCCTGTTTTTAGTTTTACTTAGTCTTAGAACGTTAACTGGCATGTCCGAATATGAGCATCGTTAACCGTAATCGCTGAGTAGTAAGCCGTTGTGGCTGTTTTTGTGATTAATTATTTACTATCCATACCTTTTGAAGCCATTTAAGGTTGCTGTGCGTGTATACGTATGTGTAGATGTGTGTGTATGTGTGTATGTATAAAAATATATATATATATATATACATATATATATATGCCATATGGGTAGACGTATAGACAAAATGTGTAGATGTAGGTCTATTTGCAGATATACATATATGTAAAGTGTGCGACGCAGGCGGAGGCGAAGCGACTCGCTGAGGTGAAGCCGTCCCTCGGTAGCTGAGTTCCTGGCAAGGCTTTTGTGCCCGAGGGCCCCTCTAATACTTTTATGTATGTATGTATGTATGTATGTATGTATGTATGTATATATGGATGTATGTATGTCTATATATATATATATACGTATGTATATAAATAGAGATAGACCGTTTGTATGGCTGCAAGGATGGATCCTAAAGCGTTTGAGTGCTTGTACTTCTCGGTTGGAAATTCCAAAGTTATGGTGAGGATCGAGTCAGTTTTCACTTGAGAGTGTCGTGGGGTGCTGGGACACATTTCACGGCAGGCATGTCAGAGAAGGTGCCGGTAATCTTCGACAACGTGCTGGGTCAGATCGGGGTTGTTGCTTACAGCATTGCTTTCACATCAGTGCTTTCAGGCACCGACGCCCTCATTCGAAGACGTTGAACTATGCCCCCAACAACCTTCGTACTGCCAGTGAAGACACCGACAGCAATCTGAGGGGAACAACGGTAGCTTCAGGTGCTCGACACCAAGAGTCTCGCTCATCAAAGTTAGAGATCGCCCCCGGCATTGCCAGCCCAGGAAGAAGAAGCGCAACAGCATTGACGAAGCTCTGCTGATTCCACGGCGACAGAATGGGCTGTGACGTCTGGTTTTCCCTCATTTTTTCCGTGTAAGTTTTCATGTGCCGGATGGGCATCATGTTCGTGGACAACACAGGACACTCCTGAACGCAAGCTAGAAGCCCCTTCACTCCCCCCCCCTCGTTTCGAACATGATGATTGGATGAGAACATCTGTTGTGATAAGTCGTACATGATGACTGACACTGTTCTGTCGTTGGGTATGGTTTCTGGGATCAGACAGTCAGACGTTTAGGTTGGGAACTTTTAGATAGTTGTGCCTTGACATTTTAGAGAATCATTTTGGTTATGGTGTCGGAGACTTGAAAGTGTATACGGCATTAGAGGCTCGAGGAATCCTGCTGAGACCTCCGGCCTTACGTGGCTTCATGTGCATTAATCCTACAACTCTCCTGAGGACGACCAGCCAACTCCTCCGCCGCTCCCGGCACATCTGCAGATCCTCAAGGAAGACCGCGACAGGACACTGTTTTGGTTTTGGGAGGGAATCGGACAGGCATGACAATGTTCGAAGTCCGTGCTGAGCAAGCGGCCTCGCGAAGCAGACGTGGTTGACTGATGAGTAGATTAGCTAAAATCTCAATCAATTGGAGGATTTCTTGTGTCTTGGTAAGAAGGCGTTGAGAACCGCCTGCTTATGTTCGTTCCAACCCGAGCCCTTTATGCCATCAGGAGAAAGAACGAGAAGTTCGTTGTCAAGCAGAAGAAGAAGAGGGCCTTCACTACAGGGTGAGGTTGAATTTCATTGTTCCCAACACTCTACATCAAAACCAATTGCTCATGGACACACCCAGGCTTCGTAGTCTATGCTTGCTAAGCATGTGGCACCAAGTCGAGGCTCGGCCTGAAGAAGACTTCTCGCACGTTACCGGGCACGGGCAGCGTGGGAACTGGGACTGTTGATTGTGTGCATATTTGCCGGGGTTCCTGTCGGCGTTCCAGTCCATTTGGCTATAATTTGTGAGTCTCTGCAACGCTGTCAGGAGTGCATCATGTCATTATGCATCCATAGTTAGTCTTAGTGATAGTGTTGCTGCCCAACACCAAAAGAACACGTCCCGTTCTTACTACCAGGCTGAGAACCTGTGTAGGGCATTGTCCTAACCGGTTTGACACACCCTGTGGTATCTTAATTCACGTTGGTGGTTAATGATCTGGGCAATGGGTGCTCCCCACATCTGGGAACCACCTCAGCACCACAGCCGACACCAGTGGCGAATAGATCCTTCCCGCAGTGCTTCTGTGCTGTGTCCTGTATCTACTTCGTAACCAATATGTACGTCGGTTCTATGCTGATTATGAGTTGTACATGTATATGTATGTGCATATAATATAATGAAAATATACGTAATATATAATTTAATATAACAGAATATAATACAATATTAGTATAATATACTCTAATTTAACTAACTACTTCTAATATATATATATATATATATAATATCGAACGATCGATCGATAGCTTCAGTGCCTGGTCGTCGGACTTGGGGCTGCAGCCCACGAAAGTGGTAGAAGTCGCAGGAGCTCGACTGGCCAAGCCAGTGTTCGTCCTTGAATGTCACGTGCCGGCACCATCGAAGCCACAACCGGACCGGAACCCCAAATTTGGAACCCCCCCGTCCCGAAAGAAACAAGAAGCCTCGAATCAATTTGGAAAATGGTTCCCTCAAGTCGGAGACCCAACCTTCGAAGCTGAAGCAGATATGTAGTCTTGCTCGCAGCAGCATTGCATGACTCGCTTTAATCCGACAGGGTGCTTTTCCGTCTTGTTTCACTGCGTCAGCAATCGTACATAAGAAGGCCCTGCTTTTGCTGGCAGTCTCTTTCTTCTGCGACGTTGGAGGTCAATGGCTCGGGCAGGAGTTTAGAGTTTGCAGCTTTGTCAGCACCCATCTAGACACAAAGCGAGGATGCAGCAACTGCGTTCATGCTCTAGTGTTGAAACCATGCGAAACAGCTGCTAGAAGTCTGCCAGGCAAAGCAGTCTCACCCCATGATTCGCCGACCGGATCGGCAACTTGCAAGAGGAAAGACGGAATGGTTTCATCCAAGCTTCGGTTTCCAACAACCCATTAGCAGCCTTTCGAGTTATTTGGCGTGTACGGCTTCGTTGTGCTAGCATCGCTATCTGAGTGCACACTTTCGAACTTTGTGCTGTTGGCTCTAAAGGGATTCGCTTCCTGGCGCCAGGAATCAAGCCGCCCCGAATTGTTAAATGCCAGTATGATCCCATAAGTATGACTTTAAATGCCGCCACCCCTCCTGCTGAAATATAGATGGCGCAGAATCAGGCGAGGCAATACTCCGTTACTTGTTACATCCTCCCACACACCCTGGTCCAATCTCTAAACCGAGGGTGCTTGAATTCGATTTGGCCAAGAAGTCGAGAAGCACCCTGTGAATCTGTCTTGTTGTCCATTTATGTCCATTGTTTGGTGCTCAAGACTGCCAGAGGCTGATGCATTGATGAGTTAGTGCTTTGCTCAACTTTCCTCTGTTGCTACAGGGTCTGCGAACTGCATAGCCCGCTCGGGGTGTTTTCGGGGGTGTGTTGGGAAAGTATGCCGCCTCCTGTGCGCTACAAGCCGCCATTGCCGGTTCGTTTCAAGGCGCAGAACTGCCAGAGTCAAAGTAGGCAAAGTCAAAAGCTTACTGTTCAACTTCTCGCTGGACGGCCGGGTTAATCAGTTTGAGCACATATCATTGCCGGTCATAGTCGGCAGTGTCAGCATTTCATTATGGGGCATGAGTCTGCAGGAGGTGGCGGTGTTGCAGAACTGCACGAGTTGACGTGTCGGAATAACCTGAAAATTTCGACAAAGGTTGTAGAGCTCGATTCACTGTTCTGTTCAAGCGGGCGAGGAGCCTCATTTGGGCTACCGGCTACCGCGCGTTTGAACACGATGCGTGTATTTGTTCATGAGCCTTCAAGAAAGCTCAAGTAAACCCCCTCTGAGTGTGAAGCACCGTGTGAATGTAACACTTTCAATGAGTTTTACCCGGTGAGCAGGTTCCGAAGGGCAACATCGTGCCCCTGGCGCCCAACGAGCCGGACATCCAGCTGGGAAAGGCACAGCTCGTTCCCCGAACCCTTAAAATAGCTCTCAAGATGTACAGGCCTGGGCCTGCTTGCATCAAAGTCCTTCGAGTCCTGAAACTCTTTTGGCAGACACTGGTGGCTGCGAAGCCACATCGCATCACCGCAGACCAGCTC